AAAAAAAAAAAAAAAAAGAAAAAAAATCCAGTTTCAGATGCAGAAAGGAGTAGTCACTACTTCATTCTCAGCTATGAATTGCCTGTTGGAAGCAACTCATTCTCAGAAAAGGGGTCCGATAACTGTTTCTTTCCTTTCTTTCTTTTTTTCTTTTTTTTGAGATGGAGTTTTGCTCTCATTGCCCAGGCTGGAGTGGAATGGTGCGATTTCAGCTCACCTCAACCTCCGCCTTCCGGGTTCAAGTGATTCGCCTGCCTCAGCCTCCCAAAGTAGCTGGGATTACAGGCATGCACCACCACACCCAGCTAATTTTGTATTTTTTAGTAGAATCGGGTTTCTCCATGTTGGTCAGTCTGGTCTCAAGCTCCTGACCTCAGGTGATCTGCCTGCCTCGGCCTCCCAAAGTGCTGGGATTATAACCACACCCAGCCAGCAGTTTCTGCCTTAGCTGTTGACCCTGGCCCAAACCCTTGTGCTGCTGGCTCCTCCCAGTCTCCCCAGTAAGGCTCTCAGTCAATATTAACCTCTGTTCTGTCTGCCCTGGGTTACTGTAAAAGCAGAATTCTAGATAAAGAATATATCAGGAGCTCCCATTTCACTACCCCCAGGGTTGGAAATAAGCTGTATTTCACCCTGGGCTAAAGCACCTGACAGGGAATCCCTCAGGGTTTCACAGCAACTTTGGGGCAACAATTTAACCCATGAGTTCTCCAAGGAAAGGGCACCAAGTTTCACTTCCAGATGGGCTCCTCTTGGCCCAATTTCTCAGGGATCCAGAATCTCTCTACCCTCCTACTCCAGGTCTCCATACCACTCCTGGCTGGCAGTGCCTGCTTCTGTCCTCCCTCTTGCAGGTTGAGCCTCTGATCCTGTGCTACCTGGCTTCGTGCTGCACAGATCTCCCTATACATCTCACAGCCTTTTTCTACATCTCTATTCCCCACCAGTGCCACCAAGAGATCTACACTTGCATGTCATCCAGTGCCCCAAGACTAGGCACTTGGATCCTGAAGTATGGCAGGCAGGAAGAATGTTAGAAGGAAGGAAAAAAGTGTGTATCAGTTATAACAATGGCTGAGGGATACAGTCTTCAGAAAATCTACATACACTATCTTGCTTAATTCTCACTATTATCACCATGTTCTAGCTAAGAACACTGGAGATAAGAAAATTAATTTGTGCAATCTCAACACTGGGCGTGGTGGCTCACGCCTGTAATCCCAGCACTTTGGGAGGCCGAGGCAGGTGGATCACCTGAGGTCGGGAGTTTGAGACCAGCCTGGCCAACATGGAGCAACCCAGTCTCTAGTATGAATACAAAATTAGCTGGATGTGGTAGTACGTGCCTGTAATCCCAGCTACTTGGGAGGCTGAGGCAGGAGAATTGCTTCAACCAGGGAGGCAGAGGTTGCAGTGAGCTGAGAATGCACCACTGCACTCCGGTCTGGGCAACAAGAGCAAAACTCCATCTCAAAAACAAAACAAAACAAAAAATCCAAATGCCTCACATGGCCAACAAGGGCCTACATGACTGAGCCCTGGTTGCGTCTCCATGGTAGACTTGTTGCACATTTGCTGCATGCCATGTGACAAGAATTAAAAAAACATTAAATTATAATGATAAAATCCAAGTATAGCACGGAGATTAAGAAAGCATGTTCTGGCCGGGCGCGGTGGCTCAAGCCTGTAATCCCAGCACTTTGGGAGGCTGAGGCAGGTGGATCACGAGGTCAAGAGATCGAGACCATCCTGGTCAACATGGTGAAACCCCATCTCTAC